TACAATGTCAGAGATTGTTGCAAACTGGCCTTTGAAGCAAAACTCACCGATTGCCTATCAGTTCAACCCCAAGCCGAAGGACTCAACGAACACTGGAAGCAAATTAAGGAAGCTGTGCAAATATCGATAAAAAACGTCGGACCGTGGCGCAGACTCAAAACACAAACGATGGATCTCATCGACATCGGCTGTCCTGCTGGACGCCCGCAGAAACCTTCTGATACCACATATGACAGCGCGCAAATCCCTCAAACGCCAGCTCATCCAGAATCCGGTTTTAGACCTGGTGGAGGTTGTATAGACCACATCTTTACTCTTCGCAAAACTCTCGAACATTGAAATTCTTTTCGTAAACCCACCATCTCTGTCTGCCTCGATCTGAAGGCGGCCTTTGAATCAGCCGACTGTTCTAAACTCAGGCGCTGCCTTTCCCTGAAGGGTGTGCTCGAGAAGTTTATTTAAATTTCGCGATCGCTTTATACTAATAGCCGAAGCCGAGTTTGAGCTTAAGGCAACTTTTCACCCGAGTTCGCCACTCAAAGTGGTATTGTATTTGACTTCGTTATAGATTTGATTATGGAAACAGTCTTATCCTTGTGCGAGGATATTGGTATCGATTTGCTCCTAGGTGGCAGATTGATCTGTAATATACGGACGACATTGTGCTGCTAAGTGAAGATCCAGGTAAGTTGCAAGTAGTTCTGGAGAGTGCGAATACAGCTATATTCGACATACGTTTTCACCCTCAAAGTGGAAAATGCTGCTACAGGACTGGGTTGGTCTAGGGTGGTGTTGACTCAGTGGTTTGGTCGTTGTCACAGGCGTGCTTTGGACCCTGTGGTCCGAGATTTGAGCCCCGCCACCGCTACCCAGCTTTGGTGGTAGGCAGCTTCGCTGTCATCCGATTCAATACCACGCCTAAGCTATCGGAGCCTTATATTGCTCGTCACTCCAAGTCCCGGGGCTAAGGGTTACCGGTTTTCATCACTGAACACCAGCTCCTCGTGACTATGGGGTTTACCCCATTTACTGTTCATCACACGACACTGTAATAAAAAACAGTGTCACATGTGCATCTGAGCATTATCCTCGCGATCTTAGGCCTTACCAATGCTCTATTTTCACTCTAACACTGAATTGAACATTGAAGTCTTCTCTCTGCGCGTTCATTCATATGGGAAGTCATGAGATAGCAACGAAACCTGGCGCACGAAAGTGCTAAGTCACGGTTGTAAAGTATGAAACTGAATCTGAGAAGCCTGGTGGCTGTGTGGAATGGAAGCGGAATCAACGGCTAGATGTGGAAACACCCGGTATCTATCCCAACTCGTCGGTAGAACTGGCTTCAAAAGGCATTGTGTTAGTGNGTTAGTGAAATAATTTACCCATTAGACGGCACACCCATATGCGGTCCTAGAATGCTGTACAGAGCACTTGACATAGCACTTCAAACAGCCTGCTGCGCTGGTTACTTCTCTTGAAAGTGCGCCCTGGTCTCTTCTCACACCGCCTAGATAAGTGGAGGTCCGAAAGGAGCTCCAATCACTGAAATTAAGTGTATGGATCAGACAGCCTGCCGCCAACCCTCTTTAAAGGTGGGGCTACAGTTCTGAGAGAACTTGTCAGACTGTTTTGGAAGATCTGGGAGGGTGAAGCTGTACCTCCTACATTGTGAGAATCAATTGTTACCCCACTTACAAGAAGAGCTGTTACAATGCTTGTTCCAACCACAGGGGAATAAGTGTAATTCCAATCGTACCGTAGTTGCTGGCATCTATTTTATTACACAAACCAAGTCCGATTCGCAAAAGATAGATCATAGTTAAATAGATTAAATATTCACCCTTCATCATCTGCTGGAATACCGCCACATACAGGCCACAACTGTTATCCCGGATCTCAGAGCCGACCAGACACCATCAGTTACTCTGCCCCATGAACTTGTTTACTGTGATAAGGAGTACCATAGAAGGAGGTCCAGCTCCGAAAAGCACTCCTCCGGCATATCTTGAAAAAAATTAGGGCCTCTGATGAACTTTTGTTCCGTGGGTTGCTACAGGTTTTCTTTATCTTTCTGTTTCTCTTCAACTTTGCCATAAGTGGTCTTGCAAAAAGCGCTAACTGACGTAATAAATGCTAGCGTTGAGGTTCTTCCTCGATACCGGTTTGTATACGTGGAGTACGGCTATGGTATCCGTTTTTCCAGTAACAACGAACCAGCGATTCAAAACACGCAGAATTGCTTAGCAATTGATGTTTGTCGGTGTGGTTTGTGCTTTGCACCCTCTCACTTCAAGGTGTTATTGCAAGATTGACATAAATCCGTTCCCGCACATTTTTAGATATTGATATTCCGGAACTAGTCAAGCACTTTTTCTTCCTCGGTAGTTGCATAACAGCTGGCGGAGGTGTGAGTAAGAAGGTATGTCGTGTAATCAAAGCAAGATCAGTGTTTACCGACCTACGTCATCTCTGGTGCCGGCGCGACGTATCCTTTTCATTTAAAAGACATATGCGTACAACCTAACTGTACGTGCCGTGTTACTCTACGGATGCACAACTTGCCGTCTCCGGGCAGTTCGCATATAATCGCCATCTCTTGTCCGCTCAACATCTCCCGCCTGTTGTGAGCGCTCCGCGTGATTACAATGAAGTGAGACGATGCGTGTCGGGTTGACATAATCTTCCATTGACCATAACCATTTCACTGCACCGTCTGAGGTGAGTCGGACACTTTCTATGGGAGCTTGGACAACGTCTGTGCTACCGCGCTTTATTATCAGACATTGTATATAACTGGGGAAAAAAGCTAGGTGTGCAAAAAATGACAGCGTAGAGATTTGAAAATAATTATTTTCGCCGATGGCTTCCTTTGGG